TTTCTTTCTTTCTTTCTTTCTTTTTCTTTCTTTCTTTCAAGATGGAGTAACACTTTGTCACCCAGGCTGGAGTGCAGTGGTGCGATCTCTGCTCACTGCCACCTCCACTTCCCAGGAGGAACTTTATTAGGTTGAAGAAGTTCCCTTCTATTCCTATTTTGCTGATTGTGTTCATAATGAAAGGGCGTTGGAGTTAATCAGATGCCTTTTCTTCATTTACTGAGATAATCATGCAATTTTTGTCTTTTATCCTTTCAATATGGTGCATTTCGTTGATTGATTTTCATATGTTAAACCAACCTTGCATTTCTTGGATAAATCACAGTTGGTCATGATGTATAATTTATTCTATACCTTGCTGGATTTACTTTTCTACCATTTTATTAAGGGTTTTTGCATGTATATTTATTAGGGATATTGACCTGTATATTTCTTTTCTCGTGATGTGTTTATTGACTTTTGGTATTAAGGTAATATTGGCTTTACAGAATGAATTGCTATGATTCTACTTTGATTAAGGTAAAATGCCAAAGTAAAAAGTTGGATATGTGATTTGCATGGAGATTACCAACTTTGTTTTCTGCCCTAATCACCACCTAAGGACCTAGTTCATAAATGGGTATTTCTGGGCTGAGTGCAGTGGCTCATGCTTGTAATCCCAGCACTTTTGGAAGCTGAGGTGGGTAAATCACTTGAGCCCAGGAGTTCAAGACCAGCCTGGGAAACATGGTGAAACCCTCTCTTTACAAAAAGTAAAAATAATTAGCTGGGCATGGCAATGTTCACCTATAGTCCCAGTTACTTGGGAAGGGAGATACACAGAGCCAAAAAAGAAAAGACACAGTCTCTACCAAAGGAATAAGATTTTTACCCTGACATGGTTCAGAGAGATGAAGAAGGTAGGGAGGAGAATAGAGGCAGGCATTATCAATCTGTCAGAGTAAGTAAAAAGGATTTACCACTCTAATACTCTGATAGGTTTTCTGCAGCCTCCTATATGAAGAGATCACATTCATGTCTTCAATCTATCTTTTCTTAGGTTTTCATTCAAGTTATCCTAAACTATCCACACTATTTTTCAGTCCTAATTTGAATGATCAAAGATACAATTTATATTAAGGCACTGATCTTGATGTCTGCATTGGACTAAAGATAGCCACAAATTTCTTGACAGTCTTCCCATAGAGAAGCTGGGTCTATCTCCAATTCCTATTCCCCAAATCTTAAGTGACTTATAGCTGCTTTAAGTTAATCTAATTAAATCTAATTAGAGCATTAGACTTCATAGTCTAGTCAGCTTCATTATAGAAGATAAATAGAGTATGACAGAAGTGACGTCAAGCTTATTCTAGGCCTATGGTCTAAAGAACTTGCAGTTTCCATCTTGGTTTCTTGGAGCTCTGAGTCATCATGTAGAAAGTTTGACTATCCTGGAGAGACCACGTGGGATTTCCAAGAGTTACTTAAAGACAGAAAAGGTCAGCTAGTGCAGCCATTCCTGCCAAGGCACTAGACATGTGAGTGAAGTTGTTCTGAACCCTCCATACTGGTTAACTGAATATCACTGAATAACATCAGTTAATACCATTTAAAGTAGAAGAATTGCCCACCTGAGCTCTGAACAAATTGTGATCCGCAGAACCACGAGATATAATAAAATGGTTGGTTTTAAGCTGCTATGCTCTGAGGTAGTCTGTCATACAGCAATGGATAACCAGAAAGATGCCAAACCATAAGTATATTTCAGAACGTTATTTTAAATAAAAATAATTCATGTATGTGACAAAATAAAACAATACATATATAAAGGTTTAAAACTTAAAATCAGTCTTTTTTCTGACCTCAATCCCATTCCCCAAAGTGACCATTAAGTTCCTTTTATATTCTCCAGAATTTTTAATAAATACAACACATTTTTTCCAACTGGGATCATATTATCTAGCTCTCTATCTATCTAGCTAGCTACACTGTTCTGCACTTTGGATTTTTCACTTATTCATGTCTCTTGAAAAGCTATCAATGTTTATAGATCTTCCTTCTATATTTTAGGTATGCCATATTTTTCCATTGTAGGGATAACATGCTCTGTGAGGGCATAGATTTTTGTCTGTGTTGTTTATTGCTATCTCCCCAGTGCCTGCTTAAAGAGTACCAAATAGTACTGAATATTTGTTGAATGATTGAATCATGATTATTAACCACTTCTTTATGGACATTTAGGTTGCTTCCAGTTTTTGGCTTTTCCAAAATGTATTTCAGGGAACAACTTTATGTATATGTCTTAGCATACTAGTTTATCTGTAGGACAGATTCTTAGGAGTGGAATGATTGGGTTAATGGTTATTTTAAATTTTCAGAAGTCACTGGTGAATTAAATTCTCTCCAAAGAGACTGCACTAAGTTATTCTCCAACCCATAGTGTGAGTTTGCCTGAGGTCCCATAGCCTCCTCGGTTTTGTGGATTGTCAACATTTCAGTTTCTTCCACTCTGGTATCTTCTTTTAATCTGCATTTCAATAATTATGAAAAGGAGTAAATAACATTTCATTTTTATTGCTCATTTCAAATAATATATTCAACTCCAGCAACTTTAAAGTGTAACAGTGTCTATTTACAATTACAATTCTTTAAAAATCCTTAACTTTTACCCAT